CCAGATCAACAGATGACATCAGAAGGTGGGTCGTGCAGATCGAAGTAGCTGGAGTGGATGCCCACAATGAAGGGCACGGGGGCGCTCAGCACGTCAGCCAGCGCCAGCGGGCACAGGGGAATGTAGGGGCACTGCCAGTGCAGCGGGAAGATCATCTGAAGCACAAGGGGTGAGGAGCAGTGAGCAGGGGAGTGGGAGTAGGGGGTGGGGCGGCGGTAGGGGCGGGAGGGTCATTGGTTTTTAGGTGGGGCCTGTTGAGAAACTTGAAGGTGGGCTCTGAAGAAGAGCCCCTGATGGAAGCTGTATGCCCCTGCAGATTGTGCCAAAGGAGAAGACTGAGGAACCTTCCCCAGGGAAGAGTCCCGGACGGGTTGGGGTCACCTGAAAGAACACCCTGGGGAAGGGGGGGCACTCACAGAGACAAGGGCCTCACAGACGCTGGTGAGCAGGTCCGGCCGCAGCGAGTGGACTAGGAGTTTGTGCTCTGTGAGCACAGCCAGCAGCAACGTGATGGCCAGCTCAGGGCCCAGGTTCTGCAGCAGCTGCAGGAAGCTGGCACCACTGTGGGTAACACCAAAGCCGGGGAACAAGTCACCAGGAGGTCCTGGAGACCCTTTCCTAGTCCCTGGGCACCGACACCGCCTGGGCCCAGCCTGCACAGGCCTCAACAGCTGTGCCCACCTGCCTGGCACCTACCATGTCCTTGGTCCTCAACCCTCTCCCCCAACTTGGGCACATACCTGAGGGGCAGGGGTGAGGATACAGGCTGGCAGAGGAGCAGGTTGTCATAGGGAGACATCTGGGAGGCAGAAAAGCCATGGGTCAGGATAACAGAGGCTGGTCCCTGCCAACTGCCCTCCACCCGTTCAGCCCCAGCCGGGCCTCAGCCCTCACCTGCACCAGGATGCGGGGTCTCTGTGGGGAAGGGAAGGGGACGTTGTGAATGAAGTGGGAGATGTGCCTGGGGAAAGAGGTGTGCGGATCAGAGACGGATTCCCCAGTCTACCTCTATCCTACCATCACATTCACTCTTCTCAGCCACCTGGCCCCAGAACTTTATTCCTCCGTGACCTCGCCTTGAGCCTGCGTCAGCCATCAGAGCAGCCAATATACAGGGTGTCCCCCCAAAATGTACACACACTTTAACAGCTGATGGCTCCGTTTTGAAATTAAATGTATTTTAATGAGGTTGCCTTTATAATGATTCAAAGTGTGTGTATACATGTTTGGGACACCCTATGTATAGAATCCAGGCAAGCCCCTTAGCTAGCAAGTGTAGACTGGACTTCAGCCCCCTCTCCCCCTTAGCCAGTGGCACTTTGGCAATGGATACAACCACACACGACAGCCCTGTCCCCCACTTCTCTGCCCACCGCCCCCACACACACCCCCAGTCCGCTCCATCCTAATCCCTTCCATCTCTCCTGGCCTCCTGATCCCCTCAGACTCCTTCCCCGTGTCAGGGGAGCCATGCTCACGCTTCCAAGGGCAGGCGGTGGGGGCCCGAGACGGAGTAGCGGTAAAGGAAGGTAAGGAAGGCGCGGAAGGCAGAGAAGGCCGGCCAGCGGGACAGCATGGCGATGGCGCGCCGGCTGCGCACCAGCTCCGACAGCCTGGCCCTCGGGAACGCCTCATAGAACTGCAGGGCCGCACCGTACACCTGGCGGGGCCAGAGGGGCAGTCAGATGGGCCCTGCACGGCCCAGACCCCCTCCCCCACTCCACACACCCACCTTATTACCAGCTGCACCCGTCAACACGAAGGTGGAGAAGACAGGCACCGGGTACTTGGTCTCGGCGGGCCAGCACTCGATAGTGGCCCCCATGGGTAGGCAGAAGACGGGCACCGACTCGGGCAGCGGAAATGTCTCATTGTCCTCCTCTGGGTAGCGGCCCAGCAGCTCTGCACCCAGGACAGAGTGGGGAGCACCCAAAAGGAGGGTATATCAGGCTCCTGGGGAAGGAACCGGGGGTCGGGGGGCATCCCAGGGAAGGGCCAGATGGCGAAGGGGAGTTCCAGGCACAATGAAAGTGACAGCCAAGAGGCGCCAGGGCAGAGGGACATGGAGGGCCAAGTGGTTAGAGGGGGACTACAGGGCAACTCACCTGCCTCATACACAAGCGTGTTGGCTTTGGCCAGGCCCACCTTGTAGCACAGGTACACTGCTGGGCCCCACTGCCCGAGAAACAGCAAGAGACAAGCAGATACACAGGTTTCTGGGGTCCACTTCCTCCACCACCCCTAAGCGGTCTTTCATCTTTAGAATTCCCACTAATCCCCGGTCCCCCAAGACCAGAGTCCACCCTGGGCCCACGCCTGCCATGAGAGGCCTTAGGCTGAGCATGCCCTTGGCGCCCAGGTCCACACCCCCATGCTGAGGGGGGGCGGGTTTCAGCCCTGGGCCCGAGCCCCACTCACCATGCCCGGGTTGAGGTTGCGGGGCAGCCGGCAGTAAGTATGAGGAGTGCCCTCACCCTTGCTGGGCAGCACCAGGCAGAGGTCAGTGATGCCCAAGGCATGCAGCCCTGCCCCCTCTGCTGCTCGCCGGTAAGTGAGGTAGGTACGGGGGTGCCCAGGGCCTGCAGGGGCCAGGTTGGCGGAGTGGCTGTAGGGTGTCGTGTCTAGTACTTGGAAACCAGGCTTGGGACGTTCCTTCCCCTCATACAACACCCTTGGCACAGAGAACAGAGAGAGATGTCGAGCAGGGGCAGAGGAGAAAGACCCCCGTCCTGCCAGATCCACCTACGCAGGCCTACCTATCTGCCGTGCACCCTCAGCCTCAGGAACCGCGACCCCCGGGCTCACTCACTGCTGACCTCTGCCCCCAAGATCCCCATGCCCCTCTTCTGCCCTGACTCTACTTCTCCATCAGCAACAACCCCTCGAGCTCCCACGGCTCTCCTAGTCATTAATAAATGCTACGAAAAAAGTTACCATTTACGGCCTCTGTGCTAAGTCCCTTCCATGGATGATCTCATTTAGCCTTCCCCACCACCTTATGAGGAGGTACAATTTCCCCCACTTTATCCACGAGGAAACAGGCCCAGAGGGGCTCAAACCCTGCCCAACACCCCACACCTGGCAAGTAGCAACATGAGTACAAGAACCCAGATCGGTGTGAGGATTAGGTGAATCAACACTCAGTCCCTTCCCTCCGGCCCCTAGCCAGCCCACTGTCCTCCCGTTCCCATCGCCTGTCCCTCATCCCATACCCCTGCGTCTCCTGGCCTCACCCCACAGCCCCTCCCAGCCTCCCCTGGTGCCCGCACGGGGAGGGGCACACACCCGAGCTCCACGAGGGGCGGCTTGTCACGGCCCCTGCGGTAGCAGATGACAGGCTGAGTTCCACTCAGGAGCCCAGCACTGAGTTCCAAGGGGTGGCCCCCCACGGAGGCCTGGATGCAGGTGTACCCCTGGGGCACCTCCTCGCCCAGCGCCCTCGCGATGACTGCCACGTCGGTGATGGGCTCAGCAGGCCGGGGCGGGCGCAGGGGCCCACTGGGTTCAGGAACCCGCGTCTCCTCGGGAATGGGTGCTCCGCTCCCCGCGAGCCCAGCGATCACGAAGTAATCCACCAGCCGGGGGGGCCGCTCCTCGGCCATGGCCCCCCCCTCACTCACTGCATCTGCAAGGGTCAAGGCAGGCTGGTGTTGCCATGGCAACCAGGGTGCCCCCCCCCCTTGCTTCCCTCCTCTTCCTAGGCCCTCCAAGGAAAGGCAGGATCAGTGGTCAGCCAATCCTGAACTCTCCCGCCTGTGACATCACCAGACCTTCAGAGCCCTGCCACAGCTTCTTAAAGAGACCAGGACCCTCTCTTATGGTCCTAGCCCTCTCCCTAAAGGACCCAAACTCCACTCCACCACACACCTGTATCCCTTTTAAAGACCCCTCCCCTCCTCACCCCCCACCCATACAGAGTTATAATAGGTCCGTCTTTTCTGCAGTGGCCTGCAATGACATCATTAATTTTGGCCATGACATCATGCCAACCTTACAGGTTTTTTAAGGGTTTTGAACTTCTTAACTCTAGTTATGACATCCTAAGAACTACACAAGCCAGTTAATGTTCTTAAAGAACCCACCTCTAGATTTTGGGAGCACCCAAGTGTCCACAAAACCCAAGCTTTAGTGTCCGTTCACCAGACTCAAGTGTCCTTGTTCCTCACCTAATTCCACTAAACCAGCGGTTCTCAACCTGTGGGTCGCGACCCCTTTGGCGGTCGAACGACCCTTTCACAGGGGTCGCCTAAGACCGTCCTGCATATCAGATGTTTACATGACGATTCATAACAGTAGCAACATGACAGTTATGAAGCAGCAACGAAAATAATTTTATGGTTGGGTCACAACATGAGGAACTGTATGTAAAGGGCCAGAAGGTTGAGAACCACTGCAACTGACAAAAAAAAACCCACCAAAAACCAACAACCAAAACAACAGTGCCCGCCCACCTCCAGGGTCCTCGGGTTATCCAGTGAGGACAAAGGTGGCTGTGGGAAACAGTCCCGGCCACCCCCATGGCCTCCTCCAGGGAGCCCCACGATAGGTCTACAACAGGTCGTCAGTCACTGAGTTCTCACCTGCCTCCATGGCCACCCCGAGGGTGGGAGCCTAAGGGCCCTGGGGAACCCCAGGTGCAGAAGCTAGGAAAGAGCTTGATGGGTGGCGTGCAGCGGAGGACAGGAGGAATGGGGGCGCTTCAGAGGGGAAGGGAGGTGACTTCCTGGAACAGTGGAGGGGAAGCTGTAGCTCAGCCCAGCTCAGCGGAAGTCAGCCTATGGGTGTGTGTTGGGGGGCGGGGGGTACCATTGAAGGCGCCAACGCAGCATCATGCCAAGTGTAACCTCAGACGAAAGGCCCCCCAGCAAAGAAGAGGAGGCTTAGCATCGCCCCAGGATGTACAGTCCTACTTAACCTCAGAGAACTTCAAGGAGCAAGGGGATCTCAGAAGCCAGGTTGGCCTCCTCAGTATGGCTTCTGGACACACACGCGCACACGCACGCCGCACACACACACACCTCCAGCTAAATTTAGCCTCCATGTCTGGAAGGTGAAGCCAGGAGTCAGTGTCAGCCTCCTAATTTAGCTCTGGGGCACAACCGCATCCCTCACCCTCTGCAGGCGAAAGGGCGCCCTATGCCCCAGGCAGCAGGCAGGGGCCCTTGGTGGGCCGAGTGGGACCTGCTCACTAGAGCCTCCGTCACCCAGCCAAGGAGACACCCTGCACAAGGCAGCCCTTGCTGCCTGGGGAAGGCGAGGGGCGCGGGCACCACTCGGGGTCCCCACGCCCACAAACCAGGCGATGGGGAGGTCGGGCGGGGGCGGCGGGCGAGCGCGTGGAGCAGGAGATTGCCTGCCGAGGAAGGGCCGGAGCACCGGGGACCGGGGCAGGTGCGCCACCTGAGCCAGAGGGAGGGGTGCCCTGGCTGAGGACCCGCAGGAGCAAGGGGGTGCAGGGCACCGGGCGCAGCTAGCGAACTCCCCTCCACTTTCACTTCCCCAGGAGAGAGGAACCGGAACCAGATGTGCCACGCCAGAAAACAGCTGGGGGCCCTCCTCCCGCCCGGCACCCCCTCCCTTCCTTCCCCGCCCGCCACC